CTTATAATGTCTGCCCCTTTTTATCCCCAGAATATATTCAAGCAAAACATAATTTACAAAACAATACAAATAAAAATAAAACCGTCAACTCAAACAATTCATATAGCTTCATATTTTACATTTCCATGTACCTTCCACACAAATCAAATTAAATAGATGTTTTCAGCTGCAGATCTGAACCAGTATGTTTCTCATCAAACTAAGCGATGCAAAATGACTTCAAGTAATTCGATTTTTCTTATCATCATGATTTACTTTAGTCTGTCTGCTCTTTGTCTCCAGGACCCGTGGTCCTGCCATGGACATTCGGACACAGACACAACCAAATCCAATGAAACAATCAAAACCAACATCACTTTGACGGAATTCATTGTCCCTAAAAGAGAACTGTTGTTTGTGAACTGAACCAAAACAAAACGTGTGACGATGGAACCTCCATGCATTAAAGGGCCTCAGTCAAGCCCCTCATTCTACATCAGCTGATGATACAGCATCCAACCCTCTTCAGACCCTTAAAGGGCTTCATCTGCCGCTCCCCGCCCCTCCAACTCAACCGTCGGTCGGTTGAGCCCCAGACATGCTCAGGTCTTAGCAGGCCTCCCATCTTGTCTCTGGATCCAGGCCTGTCTGTCACGTGTGTCCAGCCCTCCCATGGCCTTAACCGAAGCGACAGGAAGCAGAGCGGAGAACAGGAAACACAAGAGGACGACGGAGGGAGAAGAAAGGGATGAAAACTGAAGCTCGGCGCGATGAACAGACTTGTACATTTTATTWTWTTTTTTATTTTCAGCTGGGCTCTCATCTCTCGCGGCAGAACTGGTGMTGAAGAGGCGCCTCGGGGGCGCGCCCCTCTTTCAGAGCTCCTATCCTTCCACAGCCGTTTGACTCGTGACGATGGATTTTAAAAAGCACCTGAAATGCTTTTTAAGATTTGTTTTGTGCACAGCTGAGCAGGAGGAGAGAGAGGGGGGGCCGCTGAAATAAAGGAGATGTCAGGATGTTTATGTGTGGTTTGCTTTTGGGGGGGTGGGGGGTTAAAGATGGACTGGTGTGTGGTGGTGGTGGTGGAGCGGTCTGAGCATGCTCAGTCCTGAATGGGAGGGAGGAAGGGACAGGAACCAATGTAGTTTACGCTCTTAATGTGTAATGTGTGTGTTTGGGATGCTTCAGTGTCAGGCTTCACTTGGAATGTGTGTGTCCACTGTGTGTGTGTGTGTGTGGGCACGTTTTTGCTACATCGTGGGAACCATTTCCCAAAAAAGAAAGGCAGCCTCGTGGGGACAGATTTTGAATTGTGGGGACCAATGCCCAGTCCCCAAGGGTACGGATGCTAATTTCGGGTTGGGGTTAGGTTTAGAACCAAGGTGTTAGTTTTAGGGTCAGGTGGGTACCTGTGAGGTTAGTTTTTGGGTAAATGATCAGGGTTAGGCTGTAAAATTACCAGAAAATGATTGGAAGTCAATCCACGGTTCCCACTGAGATATAAAAACAAACCTGTGTGTGTGGACTTGTGTCAGAATAGCTTTTGCTGAAGCCTTTTGAGTGCGTGTGTGTGTGTGAGAGTTTGTGTGAGTTTGTGTGTATATGTGAAAGGTCATTGTAGAGGACTGACTGGGACAGTGCTGTGTGTGTGTTTTGAAATGTTTACAGTCTAGATATCCATGTTCCTCGTGCGTGTGTGTGTGTGTGTGTGTGTGTGTGTGTGTGTGTGTGCGTGTGTGTGTGTGCGTGCGTGCGCGCGACTGGCAGTCCTCCCTTTACTTTGCTGATGTTTACAGCTACAGAAAAGCAACATGACATATTGTAAAAAAAAAAAACTCAAATGTAAGCTCTCCTTGTTTGCTCGAGCAGATCTGCCAGATTTCTTTCATGTGAACACGATTAGTCATTTCTTTGAGGGAGACTTGAGCGTGAGAGCGAGTGTGTGTGTGTGTGTTTACGTTCATGTGACTGCTTGCAGGGCAGGATGTGAGCCGGCCTGGCCCGAGGACCCAAGAAGTCACGGGGCCCAAGAGATGCAACTGAACCGCAAAATTCAGATTTACTCAAAACACATAAATGACATGAAAACCACTGTGGGGTTGTTAGAGTTTTTAACCCCCCCAACTATCTAACAGGAATGGGGCAAAACTATARATTTGATACATATGTATCTTCATACAAAACAACAAGGTTAACCTTTAAATGACTGAGAAGCTCCATTAACACACAGACAATTTTATGATTGTCCACATTTCAGTCAGAATGAATTTGTTGCTCTTTTGGTCCCCATTTCGTGCCTCTCTTACTGAGGCCYGCTGGCTCATAAATCCAGCTACGATTTGAGCCTCAGAAGGCGTCTCTTGGTTTCTGCTTTAGTCGATTCCCCGCGTTGTGTTTCCGCTGAAACAGGTCTGGCTGTCTGCGACGGGAGGAGCGAGGCGTTCAGACCCTCAACAGGACTCTGTAGTTCCACCGYGGAGCCGCTGAACGGGCCTTATTTATTCCTTTGTTCATATTTAACAATATTTGTTTATTATTTAAATCCTGTGAGACGTTCCTCACTCTTCAGAAGGCCAAGAGCTGACGTGTGAAGACTACTACAAATCAACATACAAACAATGCATTTACAAAGCTACTGTAAACAAATGGTGGAATAAATTGTGCTAGATGACAGACKAGTTTCACTTTTCTTTCTGTGATGCCGACATGTCGTTTACAGCAGGACAACAAAGTTCTTCTGTCAACAGGTCATAGGGATTAAAAAAAAGAAGTTCTGGTCAAAAGAAAATTTTCATGTACCCTGAAGTGAAGCTCGACACAGAAGATATTTCTGGAATTGAATGAAACTGATTGACTTTCAGCCTGTTTTAGTCAGTTTTTTTTTACTCCATTTCTCCAAATGCCTGTTGGCTGCTCAAACATAATACAAGTACAGAGTGAAATGCAGAAAAGCCTAATATTTTTTCTACTTTTGCACATTTGAGATATTAGTGAGCTTTAACAGCATTAATTAATTAGTTAATTAGTTATTATTAACTCTAAAGACCAGAATACGTAAAAAAAAAAGAGGTGAACAAAATTRGTCGAACAAAGTTAAAACTGTTTGGATCAAAACAATTGTAGATTTTTCTAAAAGTTCTTTTGCTCTCCAATTAATAAGGTCTTATTACGGAAAAAAATGTACATTTTTAAATAAACACCACAAACACATGACTGTTTACTTTTGTACAAACATTTTCTTGTTTGTTGAAGGAGAGGAGAGAAAGAAAGTAGCTTTATCTGCAGCTTTTGTTCCAGCTGGGTTGTAAAAACGAAAATCAAAATTGGAGAAGTATCAAAACAAGACACGGGAAATGGTTCTGATCATGTTTGAAGTGTTGTAAAAATCATGTTGCAGCTCAGAAAGCTTTGTTTTCATGTGGTAAATTCAGGGAAAAAAAACAGGCTTAAAGTAAACGTTCTGCTCAACATAAGAAACAGGGAGGACACTTCTGTCCTGTTTGTCTCGAGGCATCCCTTCTCTGGTAGATCTGAGRGAAAATAAGGCACATCTGAGAAGATTTACAGCAGAAAATCAGTTTTCAATCGAACGCCTCTCGCAGCCATCACATCTGAAGCAGATTTAATGGAATTYGAAAGTGATATCAACTCACAAGGTTCTCAGCTCCTCAGGAGGTTTTTAATACGTTGCATCTAATATTAAATGACTTTTAYGATGCAGTTTTTGTGCCTTGTGAGCACGGCTTCAAGTAAAACGTTAAAAGCTTGTTAGTGCTGATGTAATCTCTGTTCATCATTAAGGACATGACCCGTGGAGGGTTTTAGACAGAGGGCAGTGTTAACATCAGCATCATTACARTGCATGTAAGTGGTCCATAAGCAGGCAAAATGAAAACTACAACCATCCTGTATTAATGTGACACACAGAGTTCTTAGTGAATCATGGCCTGCAGGCATCAGAGCGGGGTAATCTCTTTAGAAAATGACGTGTTTGTGAGTCTGGTTTGCGTAATGAAATGTGTCTCATTGTGCTGCTACAGTAAAGCCACTGAACGGCCTGCCACTCAGCTCTCTGCCTCAACAACAAAGTGCAGTTATTCACTCCAGACTCATGTCTTTGACTTCAAGTTCAGAAGCTGTTTTACTTTTTGGGAGATGCTTAGCTTTGGGGACAGTTTGCTAATATGTCTAATAATGAATGMCTTTACTTTACAGCCTGCAGAACGAATAACATAATAGGACATGTATAATAACTCACAATGTCAAAAAAAGAGAGACATGACTAATCTGTTCTTCCTGCTGTCGACATTTGTGAATACGTCTGACAGATGAGAAAATAGAAAATTACAGTCTGGACTTGGTGTCATTTCTCATTTATTACCTGATGAATATCAGGAGCATTGGAGATAGGATTTGAGCAAGGAGATTGATGCAGCATTTATATTTAATAGCAATTCAAAGTTTAGTTTCCACCAACTCAAAGTGTCTTTTCTTTATGATTACAGTGTGTTTATTACTGCTAAACAATTTTCTGAAACAACAGAATAAAAGATGATCCTATTTTTTTTCCTTGTTATATTCTGACCTCTAATGGGCAAAATAATTAATGCACATAATGGGCAAAGAAATTACTTTTTAAAATGTATTTACTCCACTTCTAACAAATGGATGTTTTCTTTTGTCTTGTGTGCAATATTATTTTCAACCGAATATTCAAATGTTTCTTTTTTTAGAAACGCAAAAATTTTAATATTTCAAGAAAAACAAATGCAAGGAAATAAGCGTTTGATYATTGCGTCTCTGACTGAGTTGGATTGAACTTAATCGATTGATCTTGTCTGGATAAAATGCAGCGCTCTGATTGGCTCACGTGATCCGGAGGCGCCAAGAAACCGGAAATCAAAACGTAAACGCTTCTGAAGAGAAAAAAAGGGCGATATTTCTCTATAGTTATTCAGTAAATCGTTAATTATTGGTTACATTATTGAAGATGGAAAAACAGTCGTATTTTCCCGTCCCTCCGGGAGTGGGAATGGAGGAGAATTTTCTGTCTCTTGATGATATTTTGCTCTCTCACGAGAGGCTTCCTGTCCGGACGGAGTGCACATTTCCCCGGCTTGGATTCCTGGAGAAGTCGAGCGACTCGCAGGACATCCCGGAGGYTAGTGCTGTTAAAATCAAACTAAAATATAAAGCTTCTTTTAAGACCATAATTGATTAAAAAATAGTTAGATCTTAGCAAGTTTCAAAGTCGTAGAGATGCTACTTTGCTGTTTAAACCAACATAAAGCCACGCCAGACTCCGTTGATTGTTATGCTTTTATAATAGTTAATCCCCGTTTAATCAGACATTTGTTTTTTCTATTTTAGTCATTTTTATTTTGGAAGAATAGTCAGTAGTAACTAACAAATTCGGCGTAAAATATTTGTCTTTTTACGTTAACTTTAGTCGAAACATGAAAATATTGTGCTGAACCCAAAGTCAGGCTGTTTTAATAGAGAAGTTATGAAACTAACTCATTAAACTTGTCCATCTATATTTGTAGTTGAAAGTGTTGGAAACCACATCACTTGAGRAATACAAATTTAAATAATAACCAATTTGACTCTGAAATCAAGGGAAGCGAAATATATTTTTAGTCTGTTTTGATTTTTAACTTTGAATTTCAGGAGATAATTCAGAAAACAGCCTAAGAGGCCATTTTAGACAAACTATTAGAATAAAATAAAATCCAAATAAAGTCTACGGGTGCATAGAAAAACTAAATTAGACATTGAGCAGAAATATGTGTTGTTTTAACTCGGAATCTTCACTTTGATAATAAACTGATGAAACTAGTAATTATAAAATATAAAGCTTATATATATTTGCAGTACTTGTGGGGATAGAAAAAGCTCTTTAAAGCTTGAATTTGACATCCTCATTCAACCAACTCACCTTCCTTCAGAGGTATKTTTAGACAACAGAAAGCCAGGATAACAAAGAAGTGTCTTCTTTCTCTCAGGCTACAAAGATGGAGCTTCCTCTCTGGCTGTCCAAAGGTCTGTATGAGAGGAAGAGGAAGGTGCTGTCTGTGGAGCTTCCCAAGGTGTACAGAGAGGGTTGGAGGACCGTCTTCACAGCTGACCCCAATGTGGTCGACCTGCATAAAATGGGGCCCTACTACTATGGTTTGGGATCCCAGATGCTGCACTTTGACAGTCCAGAGAATCCAGATATTGCTCAAGCACTGTTGCAGGTACAAAGCTTTAACACAACCCGGTAGTAGGAGAAATATCAAACCTCACAATCATTTCTGAGTTAAGTTGTTTACAATAATGATGCACAGAGACAAATATGATTTAAAAATCTTTTTAAATCTGACAGTTGGCCTTGTTCCATGCAACAAACATCACACACAGTAATTTATTTTCATTATGAAGGAAGCAGCATGTCTTTGCTAATGAATGAAACAGTCTGACTTTTAGGTGGTAGAACAAACCAGCAGGAGAAGAAACATGCTCTTAACCACTTATCTAAATTAGCTAAACCAGGTGCAATACTGAACAATCAGAAAGGCTTCCACAACAAGTGAAGTAAAGTTTYAAGAGACTTTTATTTATTTATTTTTCAGCTTCAGGTCGTGTGTGTTAAGTATTTTTTTCATAGACACTAAATTAAAGAGTGCAAATGCTCAGACTTGTAAACAAACAGCCCGTGTCATACAGCTCACCACCACTAGAGGGCGCAGAGAACTCAGAAAACATGTTGGATTTTGTCTGACTGTTGC